TTGAAACAGTGGAATAACAGCAATTCACCCCTAACTGGATACAAATATATACTGTAGCAATTTCAAATTAAAAGCAGTTTATTATATATAAATTACACAGTAATGGACACTATAATTCTGAATTTATTTTTACTTCGTTTTGCAATTCCTGGTTTACTATAAATACTTAAAAATCAGAAATAAATTGCTACAATTACATAAGGTATATAATCTCGCCTTTGATATTAAAATTTTCCATTGATGGTTTATCTGATGCTTTTTATAATTATATTTCTATAGTTGATTTAAATATAAATCTATAAAATATAATACACATAGTTGAAATGACGAGGATGTAATCAACTATGGTTCACAGTAGGCCTTCATCAATAAACAAAACCAATACTGTATAATCATCTATAAAGGCTCCCGACATGACAAAATGTGAAACAATTCAAACAAGAATACCAACAACTTCTAACAAACCAATTAACAAAAAACATTTAACAGACCGCAACCAACGAAAAATATTGAAATACAGGCCCCTAACATGAGACGGTGGTGTAACAGCACAATATAAATACAAACTTTACAAATAAGTTAAAAAAAGGTTTAACTCATCAGTTCGACACCAAGCAAAATCAATAAATATAATAACAAAAGACACAAGGTACCGATCTAAGAGTGATCACAGTAACTGATAGTTAGTTCAATTCAGATTACAACTACTGAATTAATCTTTTTTTTCCAATAAAAGTAGCCAATCAGACCACATGTAACGGATTTAGTGTAATGCCTTCATAAATAGTCTGATAAAAGCATGTCCTTGTGCAACAACTTCTAACAAACCATTGGACGAAAAACAGATCTAACAGACAGCAACTAACGAAAAACACTGAATTACAGGCCCCTAACATGGGACGATGGTGTAATAGCACAATATAAATACAAACGTTACAAATAAATAAAAAAAAGGTTAAACTCATCAGTTCGACATGAGTTAAACGCAATAAACATAATGACAAAAGACACAAGGTATCGATCTAAGAGTGATCGCAGTAACTGAAAGTTGGTTCAAATCAAATAAGAACTACTGAATTAATCTTTTTGTCCCAATAAAAGTAGCCAATCAGGACACATGTAACGGATTTAGTGTCATAAATAGTCTGACAAAAGCATGCCCTTGTGCAATGTCACAATATAAGTACAGCAAGGCATATTTTGCTATGTTTTAATTCATCCAAAACAAAATCAATGTAAGTACCGATAAAAACAATATTCAAAGTTTTTTAAACGTTTTCAAAATGATAACCTTTAAGAATAAGTTTATTCAGAGAATTAACGTGTTCACATGGATTGTTTTCAAATTAACGAGCTCTTTAAATAAACATCACTTTAAAAAATTAAGTGATGTTGCATATCTAATAAAATCTTTAAATGTTCAGCCAAACTTCAAAACTAAAAAGAAATCATTGACTTGATAATTTACCAGTTATACATACATAACATTCACTGATATCTAAAACGTCACTAAAGCCACGGACATAACAAACTAGTTTTGAAATCAACACACTGAAAGAAAGGTTAAAAAAAAGCACCGTCAAAAAGAAAAAAAAAGCAAAACAATCTAATTAAAATACAGATCCAGTGTCCAAGCTTCTCTAAAAGATCTGGCGACTGCTCTTTAAAACTACTTTCTGTCCTGGAAATTTTATACAACAGCCAATGAAATTCATTACTACAAATTTTTGAAGGTATGTATCGTTACGACAAACAAGGGAGATCTCAAACGGTCTTTCAGACCAATTAAAAAAAAAAAAGAAAAAGAATTGAGCGTTTAAAAATTTATTAGCGAAGCGTGAACATTGTCTGTATTCAAATCGGATTGATAACAAAAAGGAACGAAAAACCCGTCTCTTTTGTCGACAATTGCTGTATAAATAGTCAACGTTACAATGCAAATTTAGAGTAAGGTAGGCAAAAGAACGAACCTTCCAAAATATTAACTTTTTAGTTCTACACATTAGAATAGTTTGAAAAATTGGAAAGAAATATTAAAAGATTTGTTCATTAGAACATAGAATCCATACACGTTATTAAAACAAATCTGAGAGTTAATCTCTCCACTTGTTTTGTCCACTATGGACTGATAAGTTTTAATTATGAAAGAGTTGAAATAACGGCTAACGACGTCTTTAAATATAAAAAGCATAAACTTTCCGCAATTCAAGCATAGTTTCACAGATGAAGAAATATATAGGAACCCGTTGGCATAAAATACTTTATGGTATTCATTGCGAACTTATGAAATATTGATATATATTAATACAATGTATTGATATCAGCTGATCATTCCATAAAGTATTTGACCAATAGCTACATTTGAAACAGGGCAAACTGTTTTCACGTTAAATCAAAATATGAACCATCTAAAAACATAAAAACAAATATCTCAATACAAATTGAGCAACCTTTTAAACCTGGTTTAATACGCCTGTCCCAAGTTATTTGATGTTTCCAAAAAGTATTGTACTTTATTTAAATTTAAAAACTTAGGTATGATGCAACAGACTTTTAATTTACAGTAATGGTTTGAAATTTAAGCAATTGAAATTAAAAGAACTCGTGAATCAAAGGAAATCTGGGCATGTGCAAAACATTTAGGAGGAAGAAAAACGAAAAACAAAAGAATTAAGAGAACAAAGTAGAGAAATGAATGATTAAAATGAATAACAAAAGTGTGTTGTCTTTTGAGATGTATAATAGCCGATTTTGATTGTCTTTGTTCTTCACTAAACCAGTCAAATCAACTCTACTGGATTTTCAGCAAGTGAATAACAAGTAATTGCAAAGTATTGTTAAGTATTGCAACCAATAACGACAAACTATTATGCCGCCTTTTTTGGTATTTAGGCTATCATTTAGTATTTATAAAGAAGCTGTTTGTAATTACTTGCTATTCACTTGCTGAAATTAAAAAAAAAGCTGATTGAACCCGATTTAGTTCAATTTAAATGAAAGATTTAGGTGGAAGAACTAAGAGTGGGAGGGCAATTACCCATCCTCGTTCTTGAAAGTGAAGGAGAAAATTATCAGGTCCTTTTTCAGTAGAATGCTGAAAGGCTAAAGGTACCAGGTTGTTGGCTACGGAGTACCCAGAGAAGATTTAAGAACTTATTTTTTGACCATTCAAACTTTTCCTTATTTCCAGTATAAACCAGAGGTGATATCATGTGCTCCGGAAGGGTAAGTAGACCGTCTCCTCATATGGCATCCGTCGTTCTAAATTGGAACTTTATAAAACTAGAGGCTCCAAGGAGCCTTTGTCGCTCACCTGATATTTTTATTTACAATTGATGCATGAAATAATGCAACCGTTATACATTTACTTTAGTTTCAGAGATATAAGTCAAAAACTGCATTTTCCCCTAAGTTCTATGTTGGTTGACAGGCAGGGTCATCGGACACATTTTTAAAACTAGATACATTAGAGATGATTGTGGCCAAGTTTGGTTAAATTTGTCTCAGTTGTTTCAGGAGAGAAGATTTTTGTAAAAGATTACAAAAATTTACGAATAATTGTTACATTTGACTTTAAAGGACAATAACTCCTAATGGGGTCAATTGACCATATTGGTCATGTTGCCTTATTTGTAGATCTTACTTTGCTGAACATTATTGCTGTTTACAGTTTATCTCTATCTATAATTATATTCAAGATAATTAAAAAAAATTGCAAAATTTCTAATTCAGGGGCAGCAACCCAACAACAGGTTGTCTGATTCGTCTGAAAATTTTAGGACAGATAGATCTTAACCTGATAAACATTTTAACCCATGTCAAATTTGCTATAAATGTAGTTTCAGAGATATAAGCTAAAAACTGCATTTAACCCCTATGTACTAATTTAGCCATGTTGGCCATCTTGATTGGTGGGCGGGGTCATCGGACATACTTTTTAAACTTGATACCCTAGTAATGATTGTGCCCAAGTTTGATAAAATTTGGCCGATCAGTTTTGTTATACATTACTAACATTAACAGTCATGAGTGCTGAAAATGACTAAGAGTAATAGGTACAAGATACCAAACAAACTGCTTACAAAATTGGAATACATTAACCAGAATCCAACGGACACGAAAGTCATCATTTTAAACTAGATACCCTAGTGATGATTGTGGCCAAGTTTAGTAAAATTTGGCCGAGTAGTTTCAGAAGAGAAGAATTTTGTAAAAGATTACAAAAATTTACGAAAAATTGTTAAAAATTGACTATAAAGGGCAATAACTCCTTAAGGGGTCAATTGACAATTTTGGTCATGTTAACGTATTTGTAGATCTTACTTAGCTTAACATTATTGCTGTTTACAGTTTATCTCTATCTATAATAATCAAACACTGCAAAATTTCCTTAAAAATACTAATTCAGGGACAGCAACCTAACAACAGGTTGTCTGGTCTGATTCATCTGAAAATTTTAGGACCGATAGATCTTAACCTGATAAACATTTTTATCTCGTCAGATTTGCTCTTAATGCTTTAGTTTCAGAGATATAAGCCAAGAACTGCATTTTACCCCTATGTTCTATTTTCAGCCATGTCGGCCATCTTGGTTGGCAGGCGGGGTCATCGGACACATTTTTTAAACTAGATACCCTAATGATGAGTGTGGCCAAGGTTGTTTAAATTTGGCTTAGTAGTTTCAGAGGAGAAGATTTTTTTTTGTAAAAGTAACGGACGACGACGACAGACGCCAAGTGATTAGAAAAGCTCTCTTGGCCCTTTGGGCCAGGTGAGCTAAAGAATTAAGGTTTAAACTCTCTCAAGCAAAGTTGACCTTAGACTGATTTGAATATTATTTTAGGTCTCTTTTGATCTCATAGCTCTTCACGTGCTTAAGTAGTAGTTTATCCTCGGCTTTCAGTTTTGGGGGTATGAGCGCTCCTGATAAAGGTAAATTCAGTAGAGCACTTCGGTTGATACACATTTGTAATTGTTATTTTTATTTCATCTCTTGATAGCCACATGACAGAGAAGTACGTAACGGTATCATGTTGACTTTGTAACCATATTAGTATACGACATAAACTGCTATGGGTGTTCTGGATATTATTATGTTGTTCACTTTTCTGTGCTTTTTGAGTTGCATATATTATACAGGCAATAACAAGATGGCAGTCTGACAGTTACAAGGCGCATCACCCAAATGGAAGGATTATACATTACTAACATTAACAGTCATGAGTGCTGAAAATGACTAAGAGTAATAGGTACAAGATACCAAACAAACTGTTTACAAAATTGGAATAAATTTATCGGAATCAAACGGACACGAAAGTCATCATTGTATAAAAAGCAAATTTCATATCAAGTTATGTAAAAAAGTTTTTGAAACCGTTGCAAATCATACATTCACTATCTAACTAATTGTCTGAGGATTTTCTGTACGTGTACGGTCATATGTAACAGAGTTATAATTAGATTTAAAAGTGAACATGTTCATAACCGAACTTCGGTTGTTTCCGTTTTACAATATGGAAACGGAACTGCGGACGATCTTAATTGTGGATTATTTTACAATGGAAATTGTAACTGCTATTTCTCACTGTAATTTAAGATAGATGCCAAAAATATCAAGGTGATATTCAAATTTTTAGTCAAGCGAAACTGACAACGTCATGCCAAAAAAATGAAAGACGACGAAATGACAAAAAAAAATCATTAAACACTAAACGGAAAACTGATCACCACTAACCCCACCATCTCAGGTGGGAAGGTAAAGCAGATCCTGTCTAACTGGAGTCATCCGTCTTGTTGCTCATGGTAAGAACAAATTCGGTGATGAGAGTCCCTAGTCAACAAGGTCTTGGTATCTTCCGATGATTTTTTTTTAAAAAGGACGAGACGTTCTTTGACATTACTCTGGTTCATCAAGTTTCTGCCCAGACACTGGTGACGTGTTTTAGAGTCTGGGTACCAGCTGCAATTAACTAGTTAAAGATTCAGTTAAACTTACACACGAACATTCCACCTACAACGGAATAACCAACATGCAGATACATATTTAATACATAATTGTGTACACCTCCCGAATGTTATGATGTTGTAACATGAAAATGAAACATGGTGTTGTAACATGAAAATGAAACATTATATGATGTTGTAACATGAAAATGAAACATAATATATACCCAAATTAGTCAGAATTACAGAATATTGCTAAATTACAAAATAAATATGTTGTCTGTGCATCATATATATATATATATACAATTTTTGCACCGCATGTTTGCGGTATACCATCTTTTCCGCAAGTTTATTGTTTTCTGTTTGGTAATAAATTAATAATAAGATCTATTTTATTACATCTTGTGATCCGTTTATTTGGCAATCGCCACTGGCAGTCAGCAGGGTTTAAGAACATCAGTTGTTCGACCTGCTAGTCAAATGCGTTTTGTTAAAATATACTTTTTCACTCATTTGGTCTTTTGAAAAATGTTGTTTGTGCTGTATTTAGACCCCTCTACCAAGACATTTGTTTTGCATGCACACGTATAAAAATTGCGGTTTTTATCCAACGCAATCATAGGTTTGAACGTTGTTTTCAATTTAGACTTGTTTATATTTTTTCGTTTGGGCTTGTATTATATTTGCCTTCGGGTTTATATGATCCGTTCATCCTATTTTGACTCTTTCAAAATTTAAGAGTCTATCCTAAATTGAGGTAAATTATATGGCCTTCCAAATACCGTTTCGATCCCTAACATCACTGAAGAGACATTAATTGTCGAAATCCGGATATGGTGTACAAATTTTTGCACCGCATATTTGCGGTATACCATCTTTTCCGCAAGTTTATTGTTTTCTGTTTGGTAATAAATTAATAATAAGATCTATTTTGTTACATCTTGTGATCCGTTTATTTTCGCAATCGCCAATGGCAGTCAGCAGGGTTTAAGAACATCAGTTGTTCGACCTGCTAGTCAAATGCGTTTTGTTAAAATATACTTTTTCACTCATTTGGTCTTTTGGAAAATGTTGTTTGTGCTGTATTTAGACCCCTCTACCAAGAAATTTGTTTTGCATGCACACGTATAAAAATTGCGGTTTTTATCCAACGCAATCATAGGTTTGAACGTTGTTTTCAATTTAGACTAAAATTGCGGTTTTTATACAACGCAATCATAGGTTTGAACGTTGTTTTCAATTTAGACTTGTTTATATATATATATATATATATATATATATATTATATACAAGTCTAAATTGAAAACTACGTTCAAACCTAAGATTGCGTTGGATAAAAACCGCAATTTTTATACGTGTGCATGTAAAATAAATTTCGTTGTAGAAGGGTCTAAATACAGCACAAACAACATTTTCCAAAAGACCAAAAAAGTGAAAAAGTATATTTTAACAAAACGCATTTGACTAACAGGTCGAACAACTGATGTTCTTAAACCCTGCTGACTGCCATTAGCGATTGCCAAATAAATTGATCACAAGATGTAACAAAATGGATCTTAATATTAATTAAATACTAAACAGCAAACAATAAACACGCGGCAAAGATGTTATACCACAAACATGAGGTGCAAATATTTGTACACCAGATCCGGATTTCGACAATAAATGTCTTTTCAGTGATGTTAAGGATCGAAACGGTATTTGGAAGGCCATATTATTTACCTGAATTTAGGATAGACTCTTGAATTTTAAAGAGTCAAAATAGGATGAACGGATCATATAAACCGGAGGGAAAATATGATACAAGCCCAAACGAAAAAATATAAACAAGTCTAAATTGAAAACTACGTTCAAACCTATGATTGCGTTGGATAAAAACCGCAATTTTTATACGCGTGCATGTAAAATAAATTTCGTTGTAGAAGGGTCTAAATACAGCACAAACAACAGTTTCCAAAAGACCAAAAAAGTGAAAAAGTATATTTTAACAAAACGCATTTGACTAACAGGTCGAACAACTGATGTTCTTAAACCCTGCTGACTGCCAGTGGCGATTGCCAAATAAATTGATCACAAGATGTAACAAAATGGATCTTAATATTAATTAAATACTAAACAGCAAACAATTAACACGCGGCAAAGATGTTATACCACAAACATGAGGTGCAAATATTTGTACACCAGATCCGGATTTCGACAATAAATGTCTCTTCAGTGATGTTAGGGATCGAAACGGTATTTGGAAGGCTATATAATTTACCTCAATTTAGGATAGACTCTTGAATTTTAAAGAGTCAAAATAGGATGAACGGATCATATAAACCGGAGGGAAAATATGATACAAGCCCAAACGAAAAAATATAAACAATTCTAAATTGAAAACTACGTTCAAACCTATGATTGCGTTGGATAAAAACCGCAATTTTTATACGTGAGCATGTAAAATAAATTTCGTTGTAGAAGAGTCTAAATACAGCACAAACAACATTTTCCAAAAGACCAAAAAAGTGAAAAAGTATATTTTAACAAAACGCATTTGACTAACAGGTCGAACAACTGATGTTCTTAAACCCTGCTGACTGCCATTGGCGATTGCCAAATAAATTGATCACAAGATGTAACAAAATGGATCTTAATATTAATTAAATACTAAACAGCAAACAATTAACACGCGGCAAAGATGTTATACCACAAACATGAGGTGCAAATATTTGTACACCAGATCCGGATTTCGACAATAAATGTCTCTTCAGTGATTTTAGGGATCGAAACGGTATTTGGAAGGCCATATAATTACCTGAATTTAGAATAGACTCTTGAATTTTATATATGATGGTAACGAAATCCCAGTTACATATATTACATCCATCAAAAACGTCACTAAGACGAACATAGCGAACGATCTGTCAAATTAAGCACCGTAAGAAGGGACCAAAGGAACATCACCGTCAAAAATAGGAAAACTAACAATAGAAACGAGATATCCTCTCTTTTGTCGTTAATTTTATATGAAGCTTCCCCAGCTAGTCAGCTTTGAAAGACAGAGTACGGTATGCTAAATAAAAAAATGGCCAAAATGTTAAACCTTTTTATAGTTGAAAACTTGTCAAAACAACTTTGTTCATTAAAAAACATAACTCGTACACGATATATAAAACAAACCTGAATGTTATCAGTTTATCTTCGACCTATGAGTTTGAATGTCCCTTTTGGTATCCTTCGCCTCTCTTTTAATCTAGAGAGTAGTTTTGACCTCTATTAACTGGTAAATCTAAATGTTAAAAGAGCTGAACTAATGGATATTGATGTCCCTTAAGTACGTCTTTTAAGAATGAAAAGCATACAATTTTACCAATTTAATCGCAGTTACACAGATAAGGTAATGTTAAGGAACCTGTAGGCTAGAAATACAATACTATAAAATACTGATGAATTGGTTTTATTCCTTATGAACTAATAAAATATTAATATATAATAATATAATATATTTATATCAGTTGATCTTTAGATAAAGTATTTGACCATAAGCCACTGATACAGGGCCAAATAATTTCATGTATAATGGAAAATTAGATTTATATGGCATATAGTTTGTTTACAAAATTATCATATATAGCGTAAACATTTGTTTTATGAAAAAAAAACTGTTTCTAATTACAGACCGAGCAACGCTTTTCAACCGAGTTTAATATGCGTGTCTCTTGTTATTTGAGGTGTCTGGAATAGAATTAACGTAAGAAGCGGACTTGTCATATTTTTTTATATGGATTGATGAAAAGTTGTAAATCAGGATAGTAAAATAACAAAAAATACCGAAAATTCCAAACGGGAAGTCCCTTATCAAATGGCAAACACAAAAGCTCAAACACATCAAACAAACGAAAACAACTGTCATAAGTATTCCTGACTTGGTTTTATAGCTAGCTAAACCTCTTATTTGTATGACAGTCGCATAAAATTCCTTTAAATTGACAACAATGAATGGGCAAAACAAACAGACATAATAGATAATAATGTTAAAACTTGGGGAACAGCAGTCAACATTGTGTTATAATCTTTATC